TAGACACATACATACAGACATACACACACACAGACATACCTGCATACTGACATACACACATACATACTGACACACACACAGACATATATACATACTGACATACACACTGACATACATGCATACTGACATACACACATACATACTTGCAGACACATACACAGACATACATACATACTGACATACACACACAGACATACTGACATACACACACACAGACATACATGCATACTGACATACATACACACATACATACTGACATACACACAGACATACATGCATACTGACACACACAGACATACAGTTGCAAGAAAAAGTATGTGAACCCTTTGGAATGATATGAATTTCTGCACAAATTGGTCATAAAATGTGATCTGATCATCATCTAAGTCACAACAATAGACAATCACAGTCTGCTTAAACTAATAACACACAAAGAATGAAATGTTGCCATGTTTTTATTGAACACGCCATGTAAACAGCGAGATGCACCTGCGCCAGTTTTGCCGCTTCACGTTGTCACCCCTGATGGCGGCCCTGCCGCCCACTAGCCAGATGCCAGTCCACTCAACCATACTCAGACTGCTTACCTCTAATGGAAGTTCCTCTAAGTAATCCGGCTCATCTCAATTCTCCACTAGCCGTCCATTCTAGTCGGCTTACCATCTCGTTACGATGGATTAATTTTTGCTATCCCCCGGAGACACACAATGACTTGAAGTGCTTTGCTGTCACATGACTAGCCTGAATTATACTGAAACAGCAATGAGACAAACATATGTATACTATACAAAAATTAGCTATGGGCATTTAGCTCATGGGCAGAGAGTTTCTATGGTCAGCTTTATGTATGATGCTATACCTGTTATCAGCACCCCCATCCCAGTTCCATACCGCCCACAGCTGGCACATTTGTAAAAGGTTTGTAGTTTAAGTAAGAAGGAATCAACCTTGGAGAATCCCCAGAGTAGAACCTGGTATGAAATGAACATGTGAGTCACTGGCTGTGTGTGATGCTGGCGCAGAGATAAACCGCCCCAAGAGGATGGAAACCTTCCTGTTAATGGAAGGCTGGTTCGTACTGTGATGGCGTTTTATTAAGAAGGTGTAAGATGCGATGTCCTTTGGAATTTATGTGACATTGAAATCACATCGAGCTTAACATTCAGGGATAGAATTAGTGTGGTAAAACCTTCTTAATCCAAGGAGATGTCTGACTGCCATTCTGGGGTCAAGAAGGAATTTTGTTTTCTAGTTTGTTTAAAATTGGAAGCGCTTCAAACTGGATTTTTTGTCTTTTTTGGATCAACAGCAAAAACAAATGTGAGAAAAGCTGTACTTGATATAACTATGTACCTACTAAACTAGTGGAAAGATGAAAATGAATCACTCCAGATCCCTAGAGCACTTTATCTTGCAGAAATGCTTTACGTGTGAAGAGTGTGTCCTTTTTTTTTCATTTTACAAAAAGTCAGATTTCAATAGAAATTTTCACTTTTATAAATGGGCCTGGTTACAACCCACTGGCTGTTGATCAGACAACTGGTCCCGTTACTCTGTTACTTCCTGGTTTGGTTTGCTCAGTGGAGATAAACTCAAGAGGCAGCAATTGCCCAGAACACCTGCCTTGCAAAGACTTCTCATTGAGCTGCATTGGGAAGCCTGTGATTGGACAGCCACAGAAAGTCAGGACGGGGTTAGAAGGGGAGGGCTTGTAAAGGCTGCAGACAAGATATCTACAGATTTTGCAAGCTAATTTTTTAGATATACTCCCAGCGTATATAGTGGACACATAGATAGGATACATAACTGTGAACCACTGATTGAAGAACAATAATGCCATCTCTTGCATTCTGGAGACATCATCATAAACTGGAGGTTGGGTTTCCAGGGTTAGGACTAGGGTTGGGGTTATGATTTATTTATTTTTGTGACAGAACCAGAGTTTGCCTGGGATAAGAGGGAGTTACCCTGTGATAGGTAGCTGCTACATGTATCTGCTGCCATTAATTCAGCCTTCCTCCCGATAATGACGGAGTAGGAGAGGAGCTGAGGTGACAGAATTGTCCTGTTTCTGTCTCCTCAGCCCCTCTTCTAACATTCTGTACATTTCACTAAAACAAGAAGCTGAATACTTACAAAATTTTCAACATTAAAAAGCTCAGTTAAAAATATGATCAGACAATCTTTTCACAACAGAAAGCACTCCATGTTACAAGAGATTAACCCACGTTATAAGACTTTGGTTTTCTGGGGGTCTCTGCAAGTGAAGGTTTTATAACATTCATATGTTGAAGCTTCGTTATCACTGAGGGTCTTAAACATTGTTGTCCTCTATAAACTCTGAGGAAGCTCAATGTGATACCCTGTTGCTCCCTACACATGATTCCCATGTCATTTGAGAGCTCATCTGTGATACAATGGATTTAACATCTGATCTATTGGATTGACACACATAGTTCCTGACTCCCAAACTATAATTTCATCATATATCCCCCTTATCAAAACTATCATCCCGCACAGGACTGGTGATTAAATTCATTTATTTTGCCTTCCTTAAAATATGTTCAGTTCTATTACTGCTTAGATCTACAAATCATACCATACTCAACCTCAGAAGCTCTTTCGTACACTTTACTAACCTAATATGTACTACCAGGGACTTTTTTTACACCGACTAACCTAACCCTATACTACAAGGGACTTTCTTACACCGACTAACCTAACCCTATACTACAAGGGACTTTCTTACACCGACTAACATAACCCTATACTACAAGGGACTTTCTTACATCGACTAACCTAGCCCTATACTACAAGGGACTTTCTTACATCGACTAACCTAGCCCTATACTACAAGGGACTTTCTTACACTGACTAACCTAGCCCTACACTACAAGGGACTTTCTTACACCAACTTACCTAACCCTATACTACAAGGGACTTTCTTACACAAACTAACCTAACCCTATACTACAAGAGACTTTCTTACACCGACTAACCTAGCCCTATACTACAAGGGACTGTCTTACACTGACTAACCTAACCCTATACTACAAGGGACTTTCTTACACCGACAAACCTAACCTTATACTACAAGGGACTTTCATACACCGACTAACCTAACCCTATACTACCAGGGACTTTCTTACACTGACCAACCTGGTGCTATACTACCAGGGACTTTCTAACGCCAACCAACCTAATCCTATACTACCAGGGACTTTCTTACACTGACTAACCTAATCCTATACTACCAGGGACTTTCTTACACCGACCAACTAATCCTATACTACCAGGGACTTTCTTACACTGACCAACTAATCCTATACTACCAGGGACTTTCTTACACCTACCAAGAGTATTCTATACTACGAGGGACTTTCTTACATCTACCAACCTAATCCTATACTACCAGGGACTTTCTTACACCTACCAACCTAATCCTATACTACCAGGGACTTTCTTACACCGACCAACATAATCCTATACTACCAGGGACTTTCTGACACCTACCAAGAGTATTCTATACTACCAGGGACTTTCTAACGCCAACCAACCTAATCCTATACTACCAGGGACTTTCTTACACATACCAACCTAACCCTATACTACCAAGGACTTCCTTACACCTACCAACCTAATTCTATACTACCAGGGACTTTCTTACACCTACCAACCTAATCCTATACTACCAGGGACTTCCTTACACCTACCAACCTAATCCTATACTACCAGGGACTTTCTTACATCTACCAACCTAATCCTATATTACCAGGGACTTCCTTACACCTACCAACCTAATCCTATACTACCAGGGACTTTCTTACATCTACCAACCTAATCCTATATTACCAGGGACTTCCTTACACCTACCAACCTAATTCTATACTACCACGGACTTTCTTACATCGACAAACCTAACCCTATACTACAAGGGACTTTCATACACCGACTAACCTAACCGTATACTACAAGGGACTTTCTTACACCGACTAACCTAACCCTATACAACAAGGGACTTTCATACACCAACTAACCTAATCTTATACTACCAGGGATTTTCTTACACTGACTAACCTAATCCTATACTATCAGGGACTTTTTTTACACCTACCAGGGACTTTCTTGCACTGACCAACCAGGAACTTTTTTACACCAACTAAGCTAATCCTATACTACCAGGGACTTTCAAACACCTAGTAAGAAAGTACTGCCAGGGACTTTCTTACATTGACCAACCTACTCCTATATTATTAGGTGCTTTCTTACATCTACCAAATGAATGCTACCTAATTCGTTACTACCAGGGACTTTCTTACACCTACCAAACAAACTAATCCTATACTACCAGGGACTTTCTTACACCTACCAAGAGCATTCTATACTACCAATCTAATCCTATACTACCAGGGACTTTCTTACATCTACCACGAGTATTCTATACTACAAGGGACTTTCTTACACCTACCAACCTAATCCTATACTACCGACCAACCTAACCCTGTACTACCATGGACTTCCTTACACCTACCAACCTAATCCTATATTACCATGGACTTTCTTACACCTACCAACCTAATCCTATATTACCATGGACTTTCTTACACCTACCAACCTAATCCTATATTACCATGGACTTTCTTACACCTACCAACCTAATCCTATACTACCAGGGACTTTCTTACATCTACCAACCTAATTCTATACTACCAGGGACTTTCTTTCACCTACCAACCTAATCCTATACTACAGGGACTTCCTTACACCTACCAACCTAATCCTATACTACCAGGGACTTTCTTACACCTACCAACCTAATCCTATACTACCTTGGTGTCACGGTTCACACCGTGACATCCAGTCTGCCAGACGTGGTCGCTCCGGAAGTGCCCAATAGGGGATTTGAACTGTGGTTCTTCTGGACCATATCCTGCTGTTCTTCCTCTGAGCCATCTCAGGACTTTGGATAACTCATGTTTATTCTTGTATTGCCTGCAGCACTTGGGGGCTGGACTTCACCAAAGGCTCAGATCTGTCAGTAACTCTCCAGCTGAATCTGATACCTAATTAACAAGATATAAAAGGCTGCCTCACCCTGGGAGGGGTGTCCGTTCATTGACTCTGGTTCCCTTGTTTGGTTCCTGTTACTCCGTACCTGCGTTCCAGTGATTCCTGTCTAATTCCGGCTTCTGACCTTGGCTTTCCTCCTGGACTACTCTGACCTCTGGCTTCCCTTGACCACGCTAATCCCTGCTGTACTGAGACTTGGAGCACTTTTCCTGGAAAGCCCCCGTGCATAGGCTCACAGGCCAGGTGGCGTCTTAACTGGTCACCCTGATCTGTGTCTACTTTGCAAGGGTGAGCGTATAACTCTGCGAGCTGGACTCCCCATCAGGTAAGACTCCGTTACACATGGACTTCCTTACACCTACCAACCTAATCCTATACTACCAGGGACTTTCTTACATCTACCAAGAGTATTCTATACTATCAGGGACTTTCTTACATCTACTAAGCTAATCCTATACTACCAGGGACGTCTTTACACCTAGCAACCTAATCCTATACTACCAGGGACTTTCTTACACCTACCAACCTAATCCTATACTACCAGGGACTTTCTTACACCTACCAACCTAATCCTATACTACCAGGGACTTTCTTACACCTACCAACCTAATCCAATACTGCCAGGGACTTCCTTACATCTACCAACCTAATTCTATACTACCAGGGACTTTTTTAAACCTACCAACCTAATCCTTGACCTCCTTTTTCTCTCTTACACTTTCCCCCAAAAATTGCAAAATGGATGTTGCTGAACAAGCAAATACTTTAAATTCTAATGCAAACACAGGTTAATGTATATCCTTTATCCAGTATTCCGATATGTTTTTAATTATTACACTTGTACTTGCTCTCTTAAATTTTCTGTCATAATACTAAAGGCTTGCATGTTCCCCTGAAGGCAGGTTTTGGATTGTATCAGGAATAGAAGTAATCAGAATTCTGTGTGTTCTTACTGTACGCGTTCCCTCTAAGTATGCTGGTTATAGATTTAGTCACAGCAGTGAGACAGTGTTTGAATGTAATAAATCACGGCATGGTTTGTCACTTTATATGACGCTGGTGCTGATATGCTTGTCCCGTGACATATACTTTATGTCATTCAGCTTAGGTGCGTCTCTCGGATCCCTACTATTGCCTGTCTGGGGAGGAGTGCTTTAGTTTCAATTTCCAGTCGGAATCACAAACAAGAGAATCACAAATGTCTTAAAGGGACATGCCAGTTTACTTTTAAATTTATGTTGTAGATAATAAACAACAAACTACCAGACCTAAACCTTAATAAAAAAAAAAAAATGTTTGCCAATAATTACACAGAACACATCAAACTGCGCATTACCCCAATATATATGGGTCCTACACTAATTATATCACAGTACCCCAATATTGGTGAGTCCTTACACTAATTATGTCACAGTACCCCAATATATATGGGTCCTACACTAATTATATCACAGTACCCCAATTTCAGTGGGTTTTACACTAACCAGATGCCAGTCCACTCAACCATACTCAGACTGCTTATCTCTAATGGAAGTTTGTCTAAGTAATCCGGCTCATCCCAATTCTCCACTAGCCGTCCATTCTAGCCGGCTTACCATCTCGTTACGATGGATTAATTTTTGCTATCCCCCCGGAGACACACAATGAGTTTGAAGTGCTTTGCTGTCACATGACTAGCCTGAATTATACCGAAACAGCAATGAGACAAACATATGTATACTATACAAATATTAGCTATGGGCATTTAGCTCATGGGCAGAGAGTTTCTATGGTCAGCTTTATGTATGATGCTATACCTGTTATCAGCACCCCCATCCCAGTTCCATACCGCCCACAGCTGACACATATATAGTAAGAAGGAATCAACCTTGGAGAATCCCCAGAGTAGAACCTGGTATGAAATGAACATGTGAGTCACTGGCTGTGTGTGATGCTGGCGCAGAGATAAACCGCCCCAAGAGGATGGAAACCTTCCTGTTAATGGAAGGCTAGTTCGTACTGTGATGGCGTTTTTTTAAGAAGGTGTAAGATGCGATGTCCTTTGGAATTTATGTGACAATGAAATCACATTGAGATTTTCTTCTTGTGAAAAGCATCTTTCTTATCTGGGATTTAGTTTGAAATTGCTTTGTCTGTGGGGCATTTTTTTTGTCTGTATCTTTCCTATTACTTTTTTTTCCATACATTTAACTTTTTTTGAATACTCACTGTCTGTGACTATGATTTCAGTATGTTCCCACTGTCTGTGACTATGATTTCAGTATGTTTCCACTCTCTGTGACTGTGATTTCAGTATATTCCCACTGTCTGTGACTATGATTTCAGTATGTTTCCACTGTCTGTAACTTTGTTTTCAGTATGTTTCCACTGTCTGTGACTATGATTTCAGTATGTTCCCACTCTCTGTGACTATGATTTCAGTATGTTCCCACTGTCTGTGACTATGATTTCAGTATGTTTCCACTGTCTGTAACTTTGTTTTCAGTATGTTTCCACTGTCTGTGACTATGATTTCAGTATGTTCCCACTCTCTGTGACTATGATTTCAGTATGTTCCCACTGTCTGTGACTATGATTTCAGTATGTTTCCACTGTCTGTAACTTTGTTTTCAGTATGTTTCCACTGTCTGTGACTATGATTTCAGTATGTTCCCACTCTCTGTGACTATGATTTCAGTATGTTCCCACTGTCTGTGACTATGATTTCAGTATGTTTCCACTGTCTGTAACTTTGTTTTCAGTATGTTTCCACTGTCTGTGACTATGATTTCAGTATGTTTCCACTCTCTGTGACTATGATTTCAGTATGTTCCCACTGTCTGTGACTATGATTTCAGTATGTTCCCACTGTCTGTGACTATGATTTCAGTATGTTTCCACTGTCTGTGACTATGATTTCAGTATGTTTCCACTCTCTGTGACTATGATTTCAGTATGTTCCCACTATCTGTGACTATGCTTTCAGTATATTCCCACGGTCTGTGACTATGATTTCAGTATGTTTCCACTGTCTGTAACTTTGTTTTCAGTATGTTTCCACTGTCTGTGACTATATGTTCAGCATGTTTCAATGTTTTCCACTGTCTGTGAATATGTTTTCAGTATGTTTCCACTGTCTGTGACTATGTTTTCATGTTTCCACTGTCTGTGACTATATGTTCAGCATGTTTCCCCTGTCTGTGGCTTTGTTTTCAGTATGTTTCCACTGTCTGTGAATATGTTTTCATTATGTTTCCACTGTCTGTGACTATGTTTTCAGTATGTTTCACTGTCTGTGGCTTTGTTTTCAGTATGTTTCCACTGTCTGTAACTAATGTTTTCAGTTTGTTTCCACTGTCTGTGACTATATGTTCAGCATGTTTCCCCTGTCTGTGGCTTTGTTTTCAGTATGTTTCCACTGTCTGTGAATATGTTTTCATTATGTTTCCACTGTCTGTGACTATGTTTTCAGTATGTTTCACTGTCTGTGGCTTTGTTTTCAGTATGTTTCACTGTCTGTAACTATGTTTTCAGTATGTTTCCACTGTCTGTAACTAATGTTTTCAGTTTGTTTCCACTGTCTGTGACTATATGTCCAGCATGTTTCCACTGTCTGTGGCTTTGTTTTCAGTATGTTTCACTGTCTATGTCTATGTTTTCAGTATGTTTCCACTGTCTGTGATTATGTTTTCAGTATGTTTCCACTGTCTGTGGCTATGTTTTACTATGTTTCACTGTCTGTGGCTTTGTTTTCAGTATGTTTCACTGTCTGTAACTATGTTTTCAGTATGTTCCCACTGTCTGTAACTAATGTTTTCAGTATGTTTCCACTGTCTGTGGCTTTGTTTTCAGTATGTTTCACTGTCTGTGACTATATGTTCAGCATGTTTCAACTGTCTGTGGCTTTGTTTTCAGTATGTTTCACTGTCTGTGAATATGTTTTCAGTATGTTTCCACTGTCAGTGACTATGTCTTCAGTATGTTTCACTATATGTGGCTTTGTTTTCAGTATGTTTCACTGTCTATGACTATGTTTTCAGTATGTTTCCACTGTCTGTGACTATGTTTTCAGTATGTTTCACTGTCTGTGGCTTTGTTTTCAGTATGTTTCACTGTCTGTGACTATGTTTTCAGGATGTTTCCACTGTCTGTAACTATATTTTCAGTATGTTTCCACTGTCTGTGACTATGTTTTCAGTATGCAAAAAAGTGGATAAGGACCAGCGCTTATTTACTAAATTTTAATATACCAACGTATGGGGATATTGTAATCAAATTAAATTAGCTTCTATACATTCATGCGATTCCTTCCAACATCACAAACGTAATATACAAACAAGAAAAGAATGTAGTGCTTTTATAATAAATAAATGAATAAATTATCACCTTTTGATAATTAAGAGGAGTTTTCCACTTGAGTGTCAAGTAGGTTGATATCTATAAAAGACAATGAAACATAGTGTGGACAGTATATAACTGGATGTTATCTAAAATAGTAATATACTATATGAACTCACAAACAGAGAGCTATAGACCCAGCTCCGGTATGAATCACTTCTGGGTCCGTATAGGTGACCCACCGCTACTGCTGAAATAAATCTTGTCCTGAAGGCGGGAATAAAAGCACAAACGATTGCGCAGTATTGCTAATGATGTTCTTAATTTAATATAGAAATTTCCCAAATGGGTACAAAATAAATGACTCAATCCAAAAGTATTGTGCAGATTTGGGACTGCACTCCCATCCATAAAAGATGAATCCAGGAACCAGGATCAAAGAATAAAATAAAAAGTTATTATAACAATGTACAAAAAATAAAAAGGCAACAATGTCCTAAAAACCGGAACGCGTTTCGCCACTTCCACCGTGGCTTCTTCAACCGGATAAATGAATTCAATGTTCCCTGGTTCCTTGTTCGTGTTTAAATACCGCTAAAATTAGTGGGTGAAGGGTCAATGCATGTGCACCGTAACACGTTGTTACCACCCACGGGTAAAACGTGTGCGGTCCATGCCTCCCTCTCACCCCGCAATCGGGAGCAGTCGGCAGGTATTCCTGTCTGCAGTTACGTCGGCTGAGTCTGTTTCATCCCGCATTCTTATCTGTTAGTTGTAACACAACTTATATATTTCAGAGTCCAAATCTTCCTTGTTCTAATTGAATACTGTATGTGGTTCAGTATTCCAATTTTAAGTGATGTATAATAAAATGAAGGGTCCGTTCCAAACTTT